GTCCTTATGACACATTTTTCTCTATTCTTGTGGAGAATTTATTAGATGGTCCCGGCTCACCACGTCATCCATGGTTCCAACCAATAACATTGTTCACATCATTTTTTTCCAATGTGAATCTTCATCTCTTTCCTACATATAAATAAAAAGTGTGTGGTTATTTGGAAGTTATTTTAAAATTTGTGGTTGTCATTCACTGGGACCATGAATAATGTGGTGAGTCGGGTCCATAAAATAATTTCTTGCTCTTGTGGCATGTATTTTCTCTGCTCTTATGACACGATCCTTGTGGTTTATGGTAAGTTTTTTTCATACCTTTGCGGTCATTTTGGTGTTCGTACAAAAATCATCACGATATTTATTTTATGATTGATTTATCGGTGGTCACGTGTAGTCAGATCCCCTCTTTGGTAAAATGTTGTTTGCTGATATAATCAGAATTGTGCGGCGAAGTAGCCTGTCAATTGTGCAGCGAAGCAGCCTACCAGATTGTTTGGTTCGCTCACAACTCCTTTATCACTTCATAAAGCGTCTCATTCCACATAGATAATGAGTTTTTATAAAAGTTACTGAGTTCTTTTGATGTTGGTCGTTATTCTCAATGGAAAATTTTGTTTTGCTTCGTATATTTAGGTTTAATATTTTATTTTTGTACGAGAATTTTGGTGATTATTGTCTTCAATTTTCTTTCTATATTTTAGTTCGTTGTAACTCTAATTCCTTCTGTTATTAGTGAATTAAAGTTGTCATTCCTTAAAAAAAAATTAAGATTTAAGTATTTGACTTTATTTAAGAAAATTTTATAAAATGCATTTTATTATTATAATTGATAATTAATATGTATTGAATTAATTATTTTTTATTATATTCGTTCATTATGACCAGATGTATATCAACATGTTCTGAACCGTATATTAAATAATCATTAAAGACTTGAGAAAGAAAGATGAAAGAGCGAGGAAGCTATTCGGCAAATGGGAGAAAATTATCATTTTATTAATTTTCTATTAATTTTTAATTTTCTCGGGAGAAATAAAAAAATAAAAAAAATTGCATTAAAAAAATGAAAGCTACATGTAAATATAGGGGTGGGGGAGTCTTACGTGCGGGAGTCTTATGCGATATTGGTTTTGTTATTATATTTTTAACAAAATCGATAAATAATTATCAGAAATATTATTATTTCTATCGGTTTTGTTATTATTGGGTGTTTTACCGGTTTAATTAACATATCTGATAAATTACTATCAACTTTGTTATTTTTATCGATTTTGTTATTATTGGACACTTTACCAAAAATATTAAAAAATATTAATATTTTAAATAAAAATAAAAATATTTTAAATAAATTTTTACTAATTTTATTATAAAAATAATAACAAAATCAATAACATTTTTTCATAACCGTATATTAAGAATTGAGTATAATTTCCCTTTATGAGGACAACAATTTAGGTGCGGAGATAATACTATACACTGCCCATATCTTGATACTAGTGTCCTATAATATATGTTTGACGGACAACAAACGTTGACAAAAATATAGGAGTGAAATAAATATATTTTAATTAATATTTTGTGGTTCTAGTTAAATTATATTAAAATTATGGTTTTGAAGTTAGATAATACGTTTTAAGGAAAAAAATCCTAGATTTATCCTATTAGTTTACTGCTCATCAATTTTTTTTATTTTGTTAATCGGCGATGATATCAATTTTATTATTGGTTGTTGACCGTCATTATACTTTATTATATTTTTCTTTTTTGTTTTGTAATTTTTTTTGAATTTTAATAAATCTACATGTGTTACACGTTTTTATTTGTCTTTATGGTAAGTTTTCTTATGCTATTTGATATTTTTTGGTTCTTTGGCTCTTTTTTTCGTTTATCTTTTATTTCAAATGGTTGATTTGACATCGCTATGACTGATCAAGATGGTGCCTATTATGATATATCGGTGATCTTCCCTGTTTTGGACCCTCAGATTGGATTTGGATACACGATTTGCGATCGTTGATAGCTTTTCATATCGTTCGAGTCTGATTTGTGGTTTTTGGGTGGTCTTTTAATATCTTGATCCCCTTTTGTGGTTTGTTTGCTGATGCGATAAGATTTGTTTGTATCCATCTTTGTTCGAGTTTCTTGGTTTGGTTTAATTTTTCCTTGTATGGTCCTTATATAATCTTTAGTTTCTAGTTTTGTTTCAGTGATTATATAAAAAATTTCCTAATAATATGCTTAATTTACTATGGTAATTATAAATCTTTATTGTAATTTTAAATATTTCATATTTTGAATAAAATTAGTTTCTTCTCTCAATAAAAAAATTATGGTTTTGAATATCGTATACTATTTAAAATATTTTAAATTTTGACCAATGATACCTCATAATTTTAAATATTTCAAAATTTAAAATATTTCATATTGTGCTGATATTTCTCCAATGATATTTTAGCAACAATAAGAAATATTTTGAGGTATCTTATTCAAAAACATGTATTAGAGAAAATTACTTAAAAAATGAAAGCACAATTTTTTATATAATTAAATTTAATAATTTACATATTTGTTTTATTTTATGTGTTATCATATAATTTCTATATAATTAAATTTAATAATGTATAATTTATTAGAAAAATAAACCTAAAATAATTTTTTATTGACCCACATTATGAGATTTTAGTCAATTTTTAATGGAATTCATATATATATATATGTATTAAATAATGATAACTACATTTCATTAATTAATATAATGGAAGAACCCATAATTATAATATTTAAGCTTAGAAAAAAATGAGAACAATAATCACTAAGAAATTATATAAAAATAAAAATATTAAACTCAAAGACAAAAAAAATAAAAACATTTTGTTGAGTATGACTACCAATATCAAAAGAACACAATAATCATTGTAAAAACACAGTGTTTATGTTGAACGAGATGATTTGCGAAGTGATAAAGGAATGATAAACGAACTAAACTATCTGGCAGGCTGCTTCGTTATATAATTTTGATTATATCGACAAACAACCTTTTACCAAAGAGAGGATCTAACTATACGTGATCACGGATAACCTAATTAGAAAATAAATGACTCGAGGGTCTTTTTTTGAATTAATCATTGATATCCAATCTATTGACCGACTAATCCAAATCAGATATCACAGAGACAAGGGCGACCGTCCCAACCCAGTTTGTTCTATTCGCAAACGCTAATGTTCGAACACTTGACATTGCTTAAAGAATCTAGTGTCTTATCCACTAGAACGACTATTTGTGTGAGTACCAAAACGATCACAAATGTATGCGAAAAACATACCAAAATCCATAAGGATTATATCACAAAAATAGAAAAATGTGTGTAAGAGGGATAACAATTCTTATTCAAAATTAAAAAAAGAAAGACATAATATAAAAAGAGAGAGAATTAATAATCACTAACCACCGAAAATCAACATTAACATTAATATTGTGACGGGTTCAACAAATATTAGAAAAAAAAGAAAAAATAACACAAAATATTAAAAGATAACCTAGGTTCAAAGAGAGGGGAGACCGGATGTTGCTCTACATGCATCTTTAATTTTTGCCTTTCTGGTTCCCAAAACTTAGCCTTGGCTAATCTCGATCGATTTGGGTCGTACATCTGACTTTGGTGGGTGAATCTCGCAGCGGGGATTTTTTGTACACAATGACTCGAATTCAAGACTTACTTAAGTGATATCAAGCTGCTTAACGTATCCATGTATTATTTGTGCCACGATAATATCATTTTTTATATACCATGTTTATATCAATTATTTCCATATAACCCCATCAATTACAATTATTAAATCAGGGTCTCAATTAAAAATAAAAAGTAATATGCCCCCCCCAAAAAAAAACCCATTTGGGTTGTACTCTGAAATTAAACAAAAACTAAGTTCTCAACATTCCCTTTACACTTTTACTACTTTTATTTAATATTCTTTTTGTTTTGTTGTCATGCATTTCCTTGTCTGTTTCTGCTGTTGCGTGGCCCCTGGTGAATGGTTTTAACAGAATAGATTTCAAACAAAGCTATTAAGAGTAGAATTTAGACCAAATTAAGAAGCTTCATATGATAGTTACCCACACACATACAAATTATAAGTATAAAATAATTTTTCTCTAAAGATATATTAGGATTCATAGTATTCTAAACTCAAATCATGCAGCTATTGCTTTGAAAACCTCACATAATAGTTAAATTGCATTTTGGTCCCACTTAATATTAAATTTGTAGTTTAACCTCTTTAAGATTTGTGGGTCTTTTAATTTATAAAATGATAAAAGTTTAATTTTGACGCCTCCAAAATTGTAATTGAGCACCACAAATTTCGTTTCTCTACATCCAATCCAAGAATCTAATTCATTAAAATTTTAAATTCTTTATTGATAATGTATTAAACAATACCAACGTGGTTGGTTTAAGTGGTAAGCAACTTGATATTCTTTAAGCAATACCTCAGGTTTGAGTCATTATGTATGCAGAAAATCATCGCTGGGAGACTCACCCACCAAAGCCAAGAGTGCGACCCAGGTCAATCCAGATTAATTAATGTGAAGTCTTAGAACGAGAGGGCAACAAAAAAAAAAATTATTCCCATACTTGCTAGTTGGTTGAAAAATTAATGAATTGCACGTGGACCCAAAAAAAGTGAAAAAATTGTAAAGGATTAGAGCATTGATACAGATTTTTAATATAACTCAAACTCGAAATATAATTATTTTAAATATTAAACAAATAAAAAAAATTAATGATTATATTTAGGTTTCAACTTTAATATTTGTCGCTACATGTATTATTGTACATGCCATAATTTAAATTATTTGAAGGGCAAAATTGTACATTCGATAATTTGTCACTACATATATTATTGTCTTCTACTCTTCTCTCCTACTTCCCCATATTTTCACTGCTCTCCTGTCAAATGCTTATGCCCTTTCTTCGCCAACTTTGCCTATATTCCGTCCTTCTTCAAAACCTCATATGAAGATCTCTCACTAGTCACGTATACGTTTCTTTCTTTCTTGCTGAATTCTCGAATCTATGGCGAGCGAACGGGAAATTTCCTTTTCGCGTGGCGCTCATGCGCCGTATTTTACTGACGACGACGATGACGACGAGGAAGAGAAGTTGGGAGATACGGAAGAAGAAGAATTGTTGGAGGATGAGGTTGAGGAGGAAGAAGAAGAAGAGAGTTGGAGGGATAGTCGGGGATTGTTTTTAATGTGTGGCGGCAGCGGCCGTCGGCGTAAAATTTGGTCGCTAGGGCGAGTTTTGGACCCTAGAGCTAAATGGGTTCAGGAATGGAATAGGGTTTTCCTCCTCGTGTGCGCAACGGGCCTCTTCATGGACCCGTTGTTCTTCTACACCCTCTCGGTAAGCGACACGTGCATGTGCCTGTTCGTCGACGGGTGGTTCGCCATCACCGTGACGGCGCTCCGGTGCATGACCGACGCGTTGCACGTGTGGAACATGTGCCTGCAGCTCAAAATGGTCAAGCGATCGTCGTACGATAAGAGAAGCGGAAGCGAGAGTGAAGAGGAGAGAGACGGGAGGCGAGAAAGAAGCAGCCGACCCCGTGGTGCGAATGCACGCCACGTGGCATTTAAATACCTTAAAGCAACAAAAGGATTCTTCTTCGATCTCTTCGTAATCCTACCCCTACCTCAGGTACAATCATCACCACAAATCACATTATTCAGTTTCATTAATTAATATAAAATAAAGATTAAATTAAAAACCTTACATTTTAGTGTGTTGGAGGAGATCATGACAAGTGCATGCCATATTGCCATTAGTGAGTCTGTTGCATGCAGTGGACAGTGTAACAAAACATGTGAAGAAACCATGTCGTTTTTTATATTTTTTAGGACAAGGATAGAATGGAAAATATACAATGGGTTTCATCATTTATATTCCCATTTTCATTTGAATTATATAGTTATGGACTGACGTGAAATTGCAATGAAATGTAGATTGTACTGTGGGTGGCAATTCCATCATTATTGGAAAGAGGATCGGTAACCCTAGTAATGACGGTGCTGTTGATAATATTCCTCTTCCAATACCTTCCGAAGATCTACCATGCCGTTTGCCTCCTACGACGGATGCAAAACCTTTCCGGCTACGTCTTTGGTACCGTCTGGTGGGGGATTGCTCTCAATTTGATCGCTTATTTCGTCGCTTCACATGTAAGCAGTTTTATTTTTTCTTGGTTTTCTATTAAAAGTGAGTAAAACTCGATTCGATTCGAAAAATTGATCTTCTCAACTCTACTTGATGAATGTTCACCTTTAATTTTTATAGTAATCTCAATAACCATCACTACTTACAAAAGGTACGGAAAAGAAAATATAAATACTAATCTTTGAAGTGATTGTGAAAATAATATTTTCAAAAAATATATACTAATAAAATTTATTAAAAAAATCATCAGTTTCAACATTCTTAACTCTATATAAGTTAGAGACATAACTTTAGGGATAAGACGATAAGTTAATACTATTTCTTTCTCTTAACAAAATACGAAGTAAGACATTTACTCCATTCTCTAGGACTCTTACGTAAACACTATTAATAGGTTATCTAAAAAGAAAAGGGTGAATAATTTTTATCTAGACCGGAAGAGATAAATTCAATGACGAACGCATAATTTTATGTTGGGGTTAACTCGAACTCATAAAATTTCAGAGAACGTAAACAGATTTTCAATAGAAAAATCTAAAATACCAGGGGGACGACTGCCCTCGCCCGTCCCTTGTTCCATCCCTGGATAAATTGTATTGTAACTAACGTTTATGATCATTATATCTTGTATCGTGTATAACAATTAGGTTTTTAGACGAATAGTTTGAGGAAGTTTTGATTTTTGTTTTCTATTTCGATAAAGCTTTGAAGTGTAAAAAATTTGTGGGTGGATAAAAGCTTTTAGCTGTCAAGACCATTTAGCAACCCCAAATTATTTTTCGGCTTATTCTGAAAGATGCATGGTCATGGTCATGTCCCCTAAAGGTGAAAAACCGTATGGTAATTACATTTTTAATGTCCTTTCTTGGTCAATTCGTGATTCACGTGGGAGGAAAAATGTGGGGGTAAATGTTGCAAATAGTGAACCTTTGAGCATCCAATGTCTTGTACTTGGTTACACACGATTCGTGAAAATTTTAGGCTAAAATACTCATTTCATCCAAATCCTCAATTATTTCAACATTTGCTACATCAGTGGTTATTGATTTCATTTTCATGGCAGGCAGCGGGAGCTTGCTGGTACTTGTTGGGGATCCAAAGATCGGCCAAGTGCCTGAAAGAGCAATGTAGAGGAATAGAGAATTGTGACCTGAGGTTATTGACTTGCAAAGATCCAATTTACTATGGAACAAGAAGCATGGTGAGGGATGGAGCTAGGCTACTTTGGGCAGAAAACAAACAAGTGAGAAGCGCATGCATTGAAACCCCTGCTAACTATGATTACGGAGCTTATAAATGGACCGTTCAGCTCGTCAAGAACGACAGTCGTCTCGAGAAAATACTTTTCCCCATCTTCTGGGGTCTCATGACTCTCAGGTTTCCTTCTTTTTTAATAATAAAACGATCTCGAACTATACATTAATATTTTTTTTTAATTTATTCGTTCCTTGTGTGTGTGTTTGTGTAAATTATCAGCACATTTGGGAACTTGGAGAGCACAACCGAATGGCTGGAAGTTGTTTTCAACATCATTGTGCTTACCAGTGGACTTCTTCTCGTCACAATGTTGATCGGAAACATTAAGGTATTTACTAATAACATTTAATATGCTACTCACAATGTTATAAAGTTGCATATCATCAAAATTAATTCCAGCATAAAAGTAATGAATAGTAAAAAAAAAGGGTAAAGAAAAATTTCACCACTCAACTTTGAGCATATTCTTATTTTAGTCATTGAGTTTAAACATTTTCAATTTGATCGTTAAACTTTTGAGTTATTCATTTTTTGTCACTGAAGTATTAAATCAGAAATAATAGAGTGACGTAGCTGATTTTGTATTGACATGTACTGCATTTGCTAACATGGAATGGAAGCCACCTTTTGATCACATTTCTCTTTCTTTTTCTTTCCAACAAAGATGAATCTCATAAAATTTCATTCATGTGTCATGTCAGTGTTAGAACCACCTTTTTTTTTCATCATCTTTTTTTATCACAAAAGACATTCATAAACTTATCTTGCCGTCTCCTATCTATCTATCAATTTAAATTTTCTTAAATTCTCTTTAAAACTCGTAAAACCCAATCCAAAGGAAAATGATTCCAATCAACAATCTCAACTATTTGATAAACATAAAATCATGATGTATAACTAGTCTCCTCCTCCTCCTCCTTACTGTTCAGATTTGAAAGAAGATATTCTATCGTCGTGAAATCAAGAGAATCTGGAACAATTAAAAAGTATAGTGATTAAAATGAAAGTTTAGTGACTGAATAGAAATATGATCAAATTTAATTGATGAAATTTATAGTTTATCGAAAGAGAAAAAGTTTAGACCAACAGTGATTGATTTTGTCCCCAAAAAAAAATAACAGTGACTGATATTGCAGTTGAAGTAACATTGATGCCCAGAGAAAAGTGTTGGTTCTTTTTTTAACCAAAATCCCAAAGCCACAGGGTCCAGTGGGAGCCCATCAAACGATTCTATCTGTCCATATTTTATTCCAACAAATCTTTGATAATTTTCATGTTCAGACAGATGACATGTTACAAAAATGTCTGACATTTCTGCCATTTCCCCCACGTGTCGTTTCAGTGCTACACCAATTATTTTTTTAGTATTGTGATTTAAAAAATAAAAAAATATTGTTGTGTTTTGATTTTTTTTTTGTGGGTGTGATTATTGACATGGTTTTGTGAAGGTGTTTCTGCATGCAACAACGTCCAAGAAACAAGCGATGCAGTTGAAGATGAGGAATATAGAGTGGTGGATGAGGAAGAGGCGCTTGCCTTCCGGGTTCCGGCAAAGGGTCCGCAACTACGAGCGGCAACGGTGGGCTGCGATGCGCGGTGTCGACGAATGTGAGATGATCCGAAACTTACCCGAGGGGCTCCGGAGAGATATCAAGTACCACCTCTGCCTGGATTTAGTTAGGCAGGTAATTTAATTACACAATAAGGGAAAATAAACATTAAGGGGCATTATTATATAAAAAAGCTCCCATAAATTATTTTTTTAAGAGTACCACTTAGCAAAAAACACCTCAAATTGTCCATGTAGGACTACCTCGTTCCTATAAAGCGCGTTTAATGGACCTCGCGTTTTATAGGGTACGAGACGAATCAACTTTTCAGATAAAATCAATAATAAATGTATGAAACTTGTTTTTCGTAAAACATAACGTTTTAACCAATGACAAAGTTCAATCTTTTATATATCTCAAATACATGCCGTAGAAAACAATTGTGAATTTGTTGGTTCCTATTATAATTCTAAGTTTCTTTCAGGTACCATTGTTTCAACACATGGATGATTTGGTCTTAGAAAATATTTGTGATCGTGTCAAATCTTTAATTTTCACCAAAGGAGAAATTGTAAGTCTCATTTTAAATTATCATCACTTATATTTTATATATATCGAATACGAATATTTTAAGGGGAAAAAAACCGGAATTCAATTATTAAGCCCTCGTTGACATGGATATTGTAGATAACTAGAGAAGGTGATCCGGTACAAAGAATGCTGTTTGTGGTAAGGGGACATCTCCAAAGCAGCCAAATTCTTAGAGATGGTGTGAAAAGTTACTGCATGTTAGGCCCCGGAAATTTCAGTGGCGATGAGCTCTTATCGTGGTGTCTACGAAGACCCTTCATTGAAAGGCTCCCGCCATCGTCTTCCACACTCATAACACTCGAAACTACCGAGGCATTCGGTCTTGAAGCCGACGATGTCAAATATGTTACGCAACATTTCCGCTATACATTCGTTAATGAAAAGGTCAAGAGGAGTGCTCGGTATTATTCTCCGGGGTGGCGTACATGGGGAGCGGTGGCGATTCAATTGGCTTGGAGGCGGTATAAGCACCGGCTAACCCTCACATCATTGTCGTTCATTCGGCCTCGGAGGCCATTATCTAGGAGTAATTCATTGGGGGAGGAGAGGCTCAGGCTTTATACAGCTATGTTGACTTCACCAAAGCCCAATCAAGATGATTTTGATTTTTGAAAAAGGTTTCAAACGAAGTTCCATGGAGTTCCGAAGGTCCGGTATTTCGGGTTAGCGCTCGTTCTGGTACCATTTGAGAGGAACTCAATCGGTTCGACAGTAGTGCAGTTTTGTTTTGGCTTTTAAATGTTTGTATAATATATGTTGTATCTTTCAAGTGAAATTGGAAGGTTACCAAAGCAAAAAATAAATGAAGCAACCAGAGCATTGTGTCACAAATGAACCAAAATCAGTTTCCCAGCAATGCATTGCCACTCACTTCCATATCTTCCATCCAATTCCTGCATTAGGGCCTTCATAATTTAACTTCGAAAATCATGTATACTCGGCTGGGTCCCCGCTTAGCTTCGTTGTGAAGTGTGCGATTTTGGCAGCCCACTAACCTCGGGTACTTCGAAGAAAACGAGGGCTTTAGAAGCTAGGTCAAGAGCGTCCTGCTGCATATACAAGTTGTTCACAAAAAGTTTCGAACTATTGAAAAGGAAAAGGGAATTGCTATAAGCTAAATTAAAGCCTAAGTGGAGCCCATTTGGTCTCATTTCAGTCCCCAATGGCTTCCAAATCCTTGGTTTTGCTCTTATCATTGAGACACTTCGGTCGCTATTGGACTTTGCGGCCACCGCCAATTCACGAAGACAAAATCGGGAACCACTTCTTGTAGGAAGAACAGTATTGCTGGGATACACCAATGGAAGATGAGCATGTGCACATTTGAAATCAGAGCACTATTATAAAATGGAGTTCAGAGTACATCACCAAATTGTCTTCTTCTTCAATCCAAAAGAAGATAAGAATGTAGATGGGTAGCCGAAAAGAAGGTTAGAGAAGCTATAATGGCAGTCCTTTTCCCATATGTAAAGAGGACATTGTTTGTATGAAGAGGTAAGCAATTCTGTAGACTGCAATTGACTTATTCCACTGATCTTATCCCGCTTTTTACCGGTCGAGTTTTTTTTTTCTAATCGATTTCGACCATATACGAGACTGAACAATCCCTCACTATCATACGTTATACTAGTACATTATAAAAGACCAAACAATCTGTTTTCGACTTTTTCAGTTCTTAATCTGTGTTTCTCAGAAAAGATAAGTCTCATCAATACCAAAATATTTTAGCTCCAAACTACATTAAGGAAACGATCAATCATCCATGAAAGATGAAATTCAGCCCAGAATTACGACAGGACGGATATGAATGAGCATAATTATGAATATGGTTGCATGAACCAGCCTGCGTCTTCACGACATGCATGAATATGAACGGGACAACGGACAACCTTTGCATGCTCTATGATCTATGATATGTGAGTTTGGAAATCCTCGGTCGCTGTTAGAGAGCCCTATGCTGCCAGAAATTACTAATTGCCTTAAAAGAAAAACGAGGACAAAAAGGAATAAAGTGCATAAATCACTTCAAACCAGAGAAAATTTCAAGCCCGTTCATCTACTATAGCAGTGTACAATATAATCCTAGTGAATTCAATGGCTATAGTCAAATATTTCAACAGAAAAACGAGGCTAAACACCTATAGCATGTATATAACCACTCCAACCTCAAAAAGTGTACAAAAATGAAAATGCATTGTGCCTTGCATTTTTTCCATGACAGAAAGAACAAGCACTATCTACAAGTAAGATGGCATTAGCCCAAAAGTCGGACATCTTGACCTTTACAATGTTCATAAAGCTGAAAATGGCATGAGAACACGTGGTTCTCCTCTACATGAACTGATCCGTCAACTCATCTCTTTCACATTCCCTCTAAGGAGTCGCAAATTGAGGGATTCGACCAAATAAGAGAAAAAACACTTACAGTCAAATCAAACAACACTTCACGTTGAATCCATCGCTTCAACTTGCTGACGTGCCAGGTATTTTTCCCTTCGCTCCTTCTGAAACCATTAAATATAAGTAAAATAAGATGGAAGAAAAGGGAAACGAAGCATTATTCCAGACATAAGACAATTAATTACCCATTCATCGATTACAAGACCTTCTCCAACAACCCGGGTACCTATGTCAGGGGCGGGTTTCTTGCGTGTTTCAAGAGCAGCCTCAGCCTCAGCTAACTGACGCTTAAGTTTGTCCAATGCCTTACGGAACAAGCAGAAAAATTAAACCATTGAAAGGATAAAACAAGGAGCCCTTAAGTGTAGAAAGCAAAACAACACTAACACAATTTGCTACTTACAGGGCTAGGCTGACCCACATCTAGAAATACAACCCGCAAAATTCTTTCTACAGTCACTTGGTCCCTTTGTTCATCAAACTATACAACAGAAGGCACAATGGGGAAAAAATCTGTGTCAGCATTAGCATCTTAAGTTTAGCAGCAGTTAACATCCAATAAAGGTACACAATTAAATTCTAATAAAAATAACTCATAACCAATAAGCAGGTTAGGCATTAAATAGATAGAAATATTAGGAAACATTAAATACCATATGGAAAATCTCATGTTTAAAGGATCGACTTTACATGCCTACACTGGTAGTTCAGATGACATTCTACTAATGATCATATAATATTTATTTCAGATAAAACAGGAGCAATAAAATTTGTTTTGGTAGTTAATATGAATGAGATCTATCTTATAAACCATGTATTCAATAACTGCAACTAAAACGACATTAGTCTGCAGCAATTTACGACTAAGCTCATATTATGATGCCCTTACCAGAAAAGGCTATAACACAAACCAAAACTCTTCTTCCAAACAAGGCTGAAGGCTCTGGTCTAGCAATGGAAAGAAAATAAGGGCAATATTAACCCGCTAAAGTAGTGTTTTCTAACCACAATTCCTCACGCGTGTCAGCCAAATGAAAATAGAGAATTGTTACCGATCTAAAAATACTTTAAGCAGTTTTCGTTTTACCCAAATAAGAACAACCAACTACAGCATCAACTTAACAAACATTTCCACTTTAAAATTTTCAAATAACCTACAATTCCATTAAAATTCGTCCAACATCAACTCAGAATTGATGAAATGCTAACAGAACATGGGCCTCCATTGAGCTGAACTTTAAGAGAAAACATCAAATATATATGTCAAGCCAGAACATTAATGAACTTACAAGCTCAGGCAAGTAATCCACCCACCTGTTACCTTCAAACTCATTATCTTAAATTTAACTTTACTCTTTAAATCCGCCTGAACCTCATTATTCTCCGGACGCTCTATAAATTTAAAGACTGTCAAAACAAGAAACATCAAACAAACCAAATCAAACAAAATTAATATAATAAAATCTCAGAATCCAGCTGCCAAATTTTATTACCAGTAGCGATAATGCTTTCCCCTGGCGCCAAAATGCCACCAGGTGGACGCATAAAACAACTCTTAGGCGCAGTAGTTTGAAACTACAAAATAATAAACAAACAATTTAGTTAATTAAATAAATAAGCAGCCATAACCGTCCCAAGAAGCCTCATTTTAATAGACAGTGAAAATTTAACCAAAATTAATATTAATTCACTGACAAATCATGACTTTATGAAAATAATCCCGTAAATTACAGTAAATGTTGACGTAAAAGACAAGAGAAGTAAATAGATATAGTAATTCAATTTTACCTTGAAAGCCACGTGAGATTTACTAGTGTTCTTTAATCTGATCGCACTTCTAGCCTGAGTTCCAGGCTCATCTACGTTGGAAATTTTTTTGACAAATTAAAAAGTATATATAAAATTTAGCTCTACAAAGTCAAAGGCTAAGCAAAGCGGGGATTCGTACAAGGGAAGTAGAGGTTATTAGAAGGATCGAGGCGTAGCCGGCGCCGGGGAGGAAGAAGAGATCTGGCGATGGAAGAGACGGTTTTCGAGCGCTTGACGGGCACCGTCTCCGAATGGCGGCTGCCATTGTGGTTGAGATTTCTAGTCGAAGAAGAAGAGGAAAAGTCGTTTGTCGTCGTCGAAGTTTGCCAAAAAGGACAGAGACCAAACACCTTCCTTTCGGAGCTCACCTGCTGCCGTTCGACGATCGCCATGATCCGTCGCAAAGTCAGCCGTCGGATGTGACGGTGAAATTCTCTCTTTATCGTAAAGAAAAAGAAATTAAAAAAATATACCGATGAATGGAATTTTGCATATATTAAATGTATTTTTAAATACTATTATAGTTATTCTGTCTGTGGACTTGAAGCATGCAAAATGGCCAACATTCCCGGCGAATTTAAACACAGAACGGATTTGATATCTTCACCTAATTTTAATTAATTGCACTTTGGAGTCCGTCCCTGACGTGACCTTTTTACATGAAAATCGTGTAATTAAGTTGAAGTTTCAAGGGTAAATCTTCATATCAAAGTACTACCGCTTTTAAGGGATACTATAGTCAATATCCTTTCCTTTTTCGAATGTCATTAATTATGGATTAATGAAATTAGATTAAAGTAAAAAAATATATATATAAAAAAGGAGGTGCATTTACAGTGGTCGGCTTGTTTGTTGGAGGGTTAGTTGGCACGTTAGGAATTAATTAGGTGAATTAAATTATTAAATTAATTTTATTTTTAAATAAAGAAATATAGAAAATGATATATACCATCAAATGGTATATTAATGAAAACATATACCTAATGTCTGAAATTAAGAGTTTTTGTTTTCCTTTAACATCTATGTTTGGTCCAATGGTCGCCCTACAATTTCTTTTGCCCAAATTAGTCAAAAGAACTTGAAAATTATACGACCAAGAAAATTATATTATTGCAGACAAAAATCATGTTATGGTTAAGACCATAATTAATAAGAGATGTGAATTTAATTTCGTTTGGTTGGGCCGTCAGTGATACTCGTGTATATTTTTTTGAATTAATTACTGATATTCTATCTATTGAGCGACTAATTCAGATCGGTACTGCAAGGCGAGGGCGACCCTCCCAACCTAGTTTGCTCAATTCGCAAACGTCAGGATTCAAACATCTAACATTGCTTAAGAGACCTAATGTCTCATCTCACTAGACCAACTGGTTGTTGGTTCGTATATTTGTTTGACTCTATATAATCTCTAATAAATTTTAGTGATGTCTCTTCTACTCTAGTCCATTTCAAAATTAGCATACTAAGGTTTCAAGTAGGAAGGATAACTTGGATTAGATTAAGTCTTTAACTGATTTAAAGTATATATATATTTTTATTTAAATTTGATCTGATTCAAATATAAAGATATCTCATTTGTTGCCTCTAAGTTCGAACTCAATCCAATCAAATCTGACTTTCTTTTTTAATGATCCTATAAGATCGAATATAATTGAAACTCGTCAAATTCGAATCAATTTATCGTCTA